GTACAAATGTGACTTCATGCGTTTTTTATTCCTACGGAAGTTGCTCAGATACCATGGCTTTTTTCTGATAATTAGATGGAGTATCTAACGCTTTTCTTATCACAGACTGGAGATTGGATAAAATGTCAGGCGAACGTTGATTAGCTACCGCTCATTTTCGCCGATTCAGCCTTCTTTTAAAGTAAATGATACTATTTAGTTATGGATTTATTTCAAATTGTGCGTCGGTGGCACAGTGGTTAGGACTCTCGCTGACCATGCACGTGGTCCGAGGTTCGATCCCGTGCCGAGGCACACCTGATATCTATGGCCGGCCTGCAAAATTTGAGCTAGCGATATCCATGCTGAAAATTCCATACCTGTACCAAAAATACAGTGTGGAATCAAGTTTTAATCAAAAACAAAATAAATAAACATGCGTTAATTCCATAAATTTCAGTACGATTAATCAGCTCGTTGTTCGACATGTATAAATCATTATATGTACCGATGTGCACATGTTGTACTCATCTGTATAACTGACCAGAACATGGAGTGGTGCAGAGTGACACAAGTGAACACTTCAGACAGGTTGCATTAAACCGGGCATAGGTTGAAAAAAAAGTAATAAGTTGACAGTTAGGATTGACAAGACTTGGAATAGATTGTCTTTTCAGCAGAAATAATCATCGAATAGCTGGGATGCTTCATAACAGTATACTGTCTGTCTGTCTGTTTTCGACATAGAACATTGCACAAATGTGCGGCTGCTCAAGTTGCCAAACTCCATGTAGCACACAAAGCAAGAGAAGAAAGTGCAAGATAAGCATAATAGAGACAGTAAGCAGAAGTGTGAGACAGAGGAGGAGTAATAACGAAGAACAAAACACACAGTTTCATTGGAAATCATAAGTCACAAGGAGTGGATGCATCAGCGCCAGCCATTGAGAACGATCACTTTGAGCCATGTCACCAATTGTTTCCAACCATTGATTCTTAACGTCCCGAGGACCTCAACCAGTCAGGAGGTCTACATGGAGGTCCTACGTGGCTGGCTTAGACTAACTGTTGTAGATTTCATTGACTGGTGCCAAGTTTTTGTTTGACCGCCACTAGCTTTTTTCCAGCTTGACCCTATATCCGCTAACAATGCCCATTGTCGAGGAAGGCGATGACTAGGCATAGGTAACACATGTCCTAACCATCTCAGTCTTTGTAACTTCACGACTTCGTCGATTGATTTCCCCTGTTTACCTATAACTCAACGCCTAACTTCAATATTGCTCACCTTATTATGCCACTTCACACGGGAGATAGAACGCAGGCAGCCATGATCAAAGACAGCTAGTCTTTTCATGTCTTCCACTCTCAGTGGCCAGGTCTCACAGCTGGCCATAAAGGAGGACGTAGCGGACTGATGAGCAGTACATAGGCCTTTTGGTCGATAGTCGGATATCTCGTCTACGCCAGCGGTGGCGTAAACTGGTGAATGCGAGACGAGCCCCCTGTATTCGTGCTGAGATTTCGTCAGAGATCCACCCGTTGGCACTGGCTGATTGTACTTCCCAAATAAGTGAAGCGGTCAACGTGCTCTACCACTTCAGTTCCTATTTGTAAACTAGGCGTCGCTGTAGTCCAGTCCTGTAACATCATCTTGCATTTGGCGGGAGCGAATCGCATGCCAAACATCCGTAGATTGCAGCTCAAGGTGTTTAGAAGACTCTGCATTTTGTCAGCGTCTTCGCCTAGAGGACTATATCGTCTGCATATTCCAAGTCAACGAGATTATTCCCTTGTAGCAAGTCAATCCCTGAGTTGCTGAAGTCACTTAGGGTTAAGTCCATGAGTACATCTATGATGAAGTTGAATAGAAAAGGGGATAATGGGCATCCTTGACGGACACCACTAGTCCTCATCAGTTCAGATGACAACTCGCCGTAAGCTCTCACCTGGCTGTATGAGTACGAGTAGAGTGCCTTAATCAGTGCAATGTATTTTCTCGTCATTCCGTTTACAGCCAGGCATCTCCAGAGGACATCTCGATCGACAGAATCGAATGACGCCTTTAGGTCAAGAAATATAATGACTGTTGGACGCCGGTAAGAATGCCTATGTTGTAGAGTCTGTCGGAGGGTGAAGATATGATCAATACACCCTCTTCCTGGTCTAAAGCCTGCCTGGCTCTCTCGTATTTGTTCCTCCCGAGCACCACTTAGTCTACTCATGATTATTGAGCCTAGAACTCTAGATACCTACCACATTAGTCAAGCTAATCCCCCTGTGATTATCACAGGAAGGCTTGTCTCCCTTCTTGTATATGGGGATAATCAGTGACTTACACCAACCCGATGGGACTTCTTCTGATTCCCAGACGCTGCCTAGTACCTCAGTTAATGCAGACAATAGACTGTCTCCACCGTACTTAAATACCTCTGGAGTCATTCCATCGGGTCCCGCTGCTTTGCCTAGTTTCAGATTGGTGACAGCTTTAGTAACTTCAGTTAGGGTTGGAGGACCTGTGTCTATATCCCATTCAGGGAGGTGTTGGATGTTCGGAAGGTTGAGGGTGGCTGTGGGCCAATTGAACTGCTCCTCATAATGCTCTTTCCAACGATCCAGTCGTCTATCCTGGGAGCTAATTAATGGTGCCATTTTTTTCCGAGATTGTTTCACTAATGATTTGCCTCCTGATCACCAGTTGGTCGCTGACAAATTCTTAGCACGGATACAGAATTCTCGTTTTGCGTATGCCACTTTATACTGTCTCTGGCGTAGACGTGATATGCAGCTGGCTATCGAACAAAGGATGTGTATACTGCTCAGCAGTTCACCCCACCCTTCTTTACGGCTGTGAGACACGGCCTTTGAAAGTGAAAGATATGAAAAGGTTAGCTAGCTGTCTTTGATCGTAGGTGTCTGCGTTAGGTGTTATAATACGGTTTGTGTTAGATGGTATAATACGGTGAACAATATTGAGGTTTGGCGTCTAGTGCTGGGTAAGGAGGGGAAACCAGTTGACAGGGCTGTGAAGTTACATTGTTTGAGATGATTAGGACATTTGTTACGCATGCCTAGCCATCATCTTCCTCGACGAGTGATGTTAACTGACATCGGGTTAGGTTGGAAAAGAGTCAGTGGTGGTCAGACCAAAACGTGGCTTCATCAGTCAATGAAATCCACAAAAGTTAGTCAAGCCAACCACGTAGGAAGATGTAGACTTCCTGACTGGTTGGGGTCCTCGGGATGGTAGGGACCAATGGTTGGAGACTCGAAATAATTGTCAATAGCTGAGATGCATTTACTCTGTGATTTTTATCATATCTATCAGAACTCTATTATTCTTAATTATTACTCCTCTTCTTTCATCATACATCTGTCTGTTATCTCTCATTTGAATCTCTCTTTACTATTTTCTCTTGCTTTGTGTGCTTCAAAAAGGGAGTTTGACAAGTTAAACTTCTGCACATCTGTGCAGAGTTCTGTGTTGAAACCAATTAGTCAATATGATAAGAGGTATGCACAGAGTTGTTGGGTAAAATTGCAATACACTCCCTCTCCCAACAATCCTGATATGATGAAAAATGCACAACTATATACAGTCTGGTTTTACACGTATTTAGCACACTATTCGGCATTCGATCAAATGTATGCTAACTGATTGCTAGTCAGTTAATTTTCTTTTTTATTCTCGTAGTTTATTCTTTTACCTTCCAAGTGGAATATCTGTCTGTCTGTTTTCGACATAGAACACTGCACAAATGTGCGGAAGTTCTAGTCGCCACACTCCCTGTAGCACACAAAGCAAGAGAAGAAAGTGCAAGATAAGCATAATAGAGACAGTAAGCAGAAGTGTGAGACAGAGGAGGAGTAATAACGAAGAACAAAACACACAGTTTCATTGGAAATCATAAGTCACAAGGAGTGGATGCATCAGCGCCAGCCATTGAGAACGATCACTTTGAGCCATGTCACCAATTGTTTCCAACCATTGATTCTTAACGTCCCGAGGACCTCAACCAGTCAGGAGGTCTACATGGAGGTCCTACGTGGCTGGCTTAGACTAACTGTTGTAGATTTCATTGACTGGTGCCAAGTTTTTGTTTGACCGCCACTAGCTTTTTTCCAGCTTGACCCTATATCCGCTAACAATGCCCATTGTCGAGGAAGGCGATGACTAGGCATAGGTAACACATGTCCTAACCATCTCAGTCTTTGTAACTTCACGACTTCGTCGATTGATTTCCCCTGTTTACCTATAACTCAACGCCTAACTTCAATATTGCTCACCTTATTATGCCACTTCACACGGGAGATAGAACGCAGGCAGCCATGATCAAAGACAGCTAGTCTTTTCATGTCTTCCACTCTCAGTGGCCAGGTCTCACAGCTGGCCATAAAGGAGGACGTAGCGGACTGATGAGCAGTACATAGGCCTTTTGGTCGATAGTCGGATATCTCGTCTACGCCAGCGGTGGCGTAAACTGGTGAATGCGAGACGAGCCCCCTGTATTCGTGCTGAGATTTCGTCAGAGATCCACCCGTTGGCACTGGCTGATTGTACTTCCCAAATAAGTGAAGCGGTCAACGTGCTCTACCACTTCAGTTCCTATTTGTAAACTAGGTGTCGCTGTAGTCCAGTCCTGTAACATCATCTTGCATTTGGCGGGAGCGTATCGCATTCCAAACTTTCCAAGTGATATATTGGGCTTTGAAGTTTCACTGCCTGATGGCGTTGCTAGTCTCATTCCGATGCCTCACTCTCTACCAGTCTTGTTACTGGCGTGAGTGAGGTTAAGGAATGTGTTGATGGTCGGTTATTGGACCATGTGAGGCGTGGTTGGCGATTATCGCTCTACCCCACTGTGCCACCGACGTTAGTCAGTTAATATTATAATACATATATTTTTTAATGCTATGGAAAAGTATTTGTATAATGTTGCTTACACACACACACACACAATCACATACAGTATGAATACCCCACCTACTTTTTATTTGCTTTTCTATTTTGTTTCTCCTAGATGATTTGTCTGCAATTTATAATTCCACTACTATTTATGCCTAAACCGTCCAATCCAGCTGCAGATATTCATCATACAATCTATATCCTCTTGTTTCTGATCTGTTTTTTCCTGGAACGAAAACCATGCGCGATCTGTGCTATTATCTTGTTTATATTTATTATCCTTCCATGTTATAATTCACTGGATAATTTGTGCATTTTCACTACATGCAGTAAAGATCGAAGTTTGGCGTAATCAGCCAGATCTGCTAATTTATTTATTTATTTGCTTCACAATTTTAAATTTGATTTTGTTTTTTGTTGTGTTTTTTTTTGTATAGTTTATTTTACCCCGTATGATCATTTTGTGTTATTCCCACTCCCTCGACCCACTGACTTCCAACCCCAAATCCCTTGAAACAAAATACGTTGTAAATAGTTTTTACTTTTCAAATGATCACTTGATTTCATTCTCCTTTGATGAAAATGTCTTTTTTTAATCATTCATTCTTCATTTTGAATTGTTCAGATTCTCTGAAATTTATCACAACAACAACAACAACATTATAATGCTTTGCTGTGAGAATGAATGCCCAGTGATGAGTGTACATTGTCTATTGATATATCAGTGTTGGTTTAGATAGATTTGACCGTAAACCAGAATGTTATTCATGTAAATAGTGTTCCATCTGGCATTCTAAATGATTATCCTTTGTGTGCGGCATTTTTTTGTCTTTGTTTTGGCACTACTCAAGCAATGTTTATTAAAATGTTTCTTGTTTGCCAGCACTGGGACAGATAAAAATCGAACCATATCTGAGTGTTTGTTAAGAAACCATATATAAGAAACCACTTCAAATGGAAGTATGCGCTGAAGATGTCGCCTAGTAGGGCGACATTGAAAGCTTTGCAAATCAGCTCAGAGAACACAACCACATGAAAATCGTCCACCTGAGCTACAAATCTTCTCTATCATATCTAAACCTTCCTTAAGATTATTGGCTCTACTTTCAACATTCTTCAAGCTTCAGTTCAACTACCTTAGGCGCACTGCATGCACTCACAATCTCTGAAATTTAAACTGGGCAACTGAGATTTACCTTAATTACCCCTTTTGTTATAATAAATAGTAAAACTTATGTGGTTTTGTTGCGTATTCAGATTTTCGGTGTGTGAAACAGGCGTGTTAAGCATCTAATTTCCTGGTTGAAAGTCACACCGTGATAGGAGAAGCAGATGTGTACTTAAGCTGCTTTTGTAAACAGTTTTCAAAAGTTCGAGTAATATGTGTTTATGTGAACAGGCGTCAGTGGGGTGTTTTTATCATTTGGAGATTACATTATCAGTAAACAATGTTAGTATCCTGCTGGTCACGACTTCCCACTAGAAATACCTGCAACTTTATTGTGTAGTCAGTCACCTGGACTGGACTGGTTTCAACATGGAACTTTGCACAGATGTGTAGCAGTTCGAGTCGCCACACTTCACTCTGCACACAAAGCAGGAAAACTAAAAAATAAATGCAAAACAGAGACAATAAAGAGAGATATGAGGCAAAAAAGAATAGTAATATGAAAGAACAATATAGTTTCATTGGATATTTCAAGTCACAAGGAGTGGATGAATCTGCGCCAGCCATTGAGAACGATCACTTTGAGCCATATCACCAATTGTCTCTATCCTCCATTAGATTTTACTGTCCCGACAACCCCGTCCTGAAGGTCAGGCAGTCTACACCTGGTGTGGCGGCTAGCTGTTGTGGATTTTATCGATTGATGAAGCCATGTTTTAGTTTGACCACCACTAGCTAACTATTTTCCAACCTGATTCTTCCTATGTCATCTAGCATTGCCCGTCAAGGAAAACGATGGATAGCTAGAGGTTCATCTCAATATATGTAACTGCTTCACAGCCTCGTCTATTGATTTCCCCTGCTTACCTAGCACTCAACACCTAACCTCAATATTGCTCACCTTATTATGTTATTTTATTTATTTTATTTTATTATAGCTTGATTCCACACAGTATTTTGGTACGAGTATGGAATTTTCAGCATGTGATATCGGTAGCCCAAATTTAGCAGGCCGACCATTGATATGAGGTGTGCGTCGGTCGCGGATCGAACCCCAGACCATGTGCATGGTCGGCGAGAGCCCTAACCGCTGTGCCACCGACGCAATTTATGAGACAGAACTCAGGCACCTGAGATCAAAGACTGTTAGCTAACGTTTTCATATCTTTCACTTTCAATGACCGTGTCTCACAGCCGCAAAGGAGGACGAGGTGAACTGCTGGGCAGTACACACACCCTTTGTTCGATAGCCAGCTGGATATCAAGTCTACACCAGAGACGGTGTAGACTGGCATATGCGAAACAAGACTTCTGTATCCATATCCGTGCTGAGATTTCGTCAGCGATCCACTTGTTGGCACTGACTGCTGCAACTTCCCAATTAAGTAAAGCCGTTAACGTGTTCTACCACTTCACTCCCTATTTCTAAGCTAGTAGGCAGTGCAGTCCAATCTTGTTACATCATCTTGCATTTGACGGGAGCGAATCCCATGCCAAACATTCGTAGATTGCAGCTCAAGATGTTCAGAAGACTCTGGAATTTGTCAGCGTCTTCATCTAGCAGGTAGGACATTGGGGACAGTGAGTAGGACATCCATAACGGACACCACTGGTAGTCACCACTTCAGATGACAACTCGTCATAGGCTCTCACATGGCTGTATGAGTACGAGTAGCGAGACTTGATCAATGCAATGTATTTTTATCGGTATTCCCTTCACAGTCAAACATCGCCACAGTACCCCTCGGTCGATTGAATCGAATGTCACTTTCAGGTCAAGAAATATAACGATTGGCTCCAACCATCTAATATCATCAAATATGATGATTATTGGACGCCGGTAAGTACGCCTATGTTCTAGAATCTGTCTAAGGGTCAATATATGAACAATACACCCTCTTCCTGGTCTAAAGCCTGCCTGGCTCTCTCGTGTTTGTTCCTCCCGAGCACCACTTAGTCTACGCATGATAGAACTTTAGATACTATATTGGTGAAGCTAGCCCTCCTGTGATTATCACAGGATGACTTTTCTCCCTTCTTGTATGTATGGATAATCAATGACTTACACCCGACACACAGGACTTCCTCTGAGTCCCAGACACTGTCCAATACCTTAGTTAATACAGACAATAGACTGTCTCCACCGTATTTAAATACCTCTGGAGTCATTCCATCGGCTCCTGCTGCCTTGTCTTGTTTCGGACTAGTGATAGCTTCAGTAACCTCAGTTAGGGACGGAGGACCTGTGTCTATATCCCATTCAGGGAGGTGTTGGATGTTCGGAAGGTTGAGGGTGGCTGTGGGCCAATTGAACTGCTCCTCTTAGTGCTCTTTCCAGCGATGCAGTCGTCTATCTTGGGAGCTAATTATGTTGTCATTTTTCTCGAAGATTGTTCCACTTATCATTTGCCTTTTACCCCCTGTTTCCCCGGTAGGCCTATATAGTTGTCTGGTATTACCTATTACCTATGAATTTTCCATCTGTTTCGCTCTTGTCGCCTACCATTGTTAACGGTCGTTACGGAGGCTCCTTGTTGGTTTGCTTTCAAGTACTTTTCGATCATCATCGTAATCGGAGGTCGGCGGTATGTGTCTTCTTGAGTCCGTCAGTTCAGATGAGGCTTTATATATCCAATGGCTCTCAATAACTTTTAGTTTTAGATTATTATCAACTTATACAGCTGTTCTGCAGCTAACTATGTGTTTTACCAGCTAGGCTTCCTCAGGAGGAGTATTTCTGCCGACCTCAGATACTCGTCTCGCTATTTCTTCTTTAAATATGGACTCAGAGTGTCGATGTAGTTGAGGATTCAGCTACTTCGCTGCCAACAACTGCTTTTGTCCGTTTAGTCATAAACATAAACGTTCGCCGACCAGAGCGTGATCGGAGTCTATGCATGTGTTCCAGAGGGAGCGGCAGTCATCTACCGACCCTCGCCAACGATGCACTATCGCCATGTAGTCTATTTGAGTCCAGCGTTGATTCGTTGATGGAGGTTGATGGATGTTACGCAGTGTCTCTCTTTGTCCCTAAAGTTAGTACCGACTAGGAAGAGATGATTGTCTGAACAGAACTGTAGAAGACGGTCACCGTTGTCGGTTCGTCGCCAGGGAACTCCGTACTTACAACCCATATACTTCTCAGTCTGGCATAACTTCACTACTTGAGCATTGAAGTCGCCTGCTAAAACAACTATATCTGAGCGTCTTGTGTTCACAGGAAACTAGACAGTTTCACGTAGAAATCACCTTTTAGTTCATCCGAACTGCAGTCTGTTGGCGCGTAAACGGAAACCATAGAAAGACAACGACAGGTAGCGCCGTCCTTCCTTCTTGCAACAGACCTGTTCAGACGGACCCCATACATACAACTATCTGCTTGAGTGCAGTCAAGATGTGATTTCTCCGTCCTAATACTCAATGCTACACCTACACCTGCGAGTCCTTGCGAACTAGTTGAGTAGTGTCCTGACACCCTTAAAGTGAATTTTGCAGATTCACCTTGTTGACTGGGTGGGACTAAGTGAATAACCACACTCGGGTCTTGTATGCGTGTCTCCAAAACTCAATATGCATACATGGCTGTAGACGTCAGAGTTCTCCCTAGTGATGCCTGTTGTCCGATTTGTCAGAGGGTCCTGACGTCGAATGCTGCGATATGAAGTTGGTGGCGTGGCTTTAAGAGGCTGTTAGGGGAGTTTCTATGCCTCTCATCGTTGTTTGTGGTCACAGAGTGAAGTGATGATGACTCACTAGGCTGAAGAACAGTATTGACTGTAGTAGGAAATTAAGATGATGAGGGTGGTGTGGGTAAAGGGGAATAATGTTCAGGAAGGCTTCGTGTGCTTTTGGAGGTGTGTGTGGGCGGTTGTTACTTCCCAGCTGCCCACACCGTGGAAGATTCAGTCACCAATCCCCAGCGAGGTTCGGCATGTTGATTATACAGGCAGATACTTGCCGATGACATTGGCTGGCGATTTGGTAGGAGTTGGAGTTGAGGGACCATTGGATTCTATTCCAGTGGTTAACTAGCTCGCTGTGTAATCCGAAGGTCCTGAGCTCTACTGTTGACTTGGGCTCGATGAAGTTTCCTAAACATGATCGTGACAGCTATCCAGTACTTCTGGTTTCCAATGGTTCTCTAACTGAAGTTATTCTGTGACCAAACTCGAAATCAGTCTGAC